CCTCCACACACCAAAAAAATAAATAAATAAAAATGACTAGAAAAAAAAAAAACACCCAAAACAAAGCAAACCCAGAAGAGTGAGAATATACTTATATTAAAAAAACACATTGTACTGTCATGTATAACTAATAAGAACTAATAAAATATTAAAATGCCAAAAAAATAAAGTGGGTAAACAAAAGGTAACAATAAGAACCAGGCCCAGAGCCAGGGGCGGTGGCACACACTTGTAATCCCAGTGACTCGGTATGCTGAGGCAGAAGGATTGCAAGTTTGAGGCCAGCCTCAGCAACTTAGTGAGACTGTGTCTCAAAATAAAAAGTAAAAAGGACAGGGGTGTGGTTCAGTGGGAAAATGTTGTGGGTTTAATCCCCAGTACTCCTCCCCCCCAAAAAAAAATCAGGCACAGTGGCACAAGCCTTGTACCACAGCCACTTAGGAGGCTGAGGCAAGAGGATCACAAGTTCAAGGCCAGCCTCAGCAACCTAATGAGACCCTGTCTCAAATTAAAAAAAAAAAAAAAAAAAATGGCTGAGGATGTAACTCAGTGGTTGAACTCCCCTGGGTTCAATCCCCAGTACTGGGGAAGGGGGGCAGTGGGAAGAAAGATAACAACAGAGAGATGTGGCAGAGCCTTTGGAGTTTGCAGTCCTAACAAGGAGCAGCTACTGACTGAGGCAGGGGACTACCCCTCATCCCTGCCTGAGCTGCCCACCCCTGTTACCCACGCCCTCCCCTGAGTTTCAAGCCCCCTCCACCCTAATAGGGTCAGGGGCCAAGCTCTGACAATCAGGCAGTCCCCCCGCCCACCCCTTGGCTCAGTGAGAATGGGAATCTCCCTGGGGCTTTTCTGGTGGGGCCCAGGGTCTTTCTCCCTCTTGCCATCATTGCCCAGGGCCCTGGTGGGCAGGTGGCCAACTTGGTGGGAAACCAATAGGAGAGGCAGTTCTTGCTTTCTTAAAACCAGGATTCAGCAGCAGCCCTGCGCTTCCTGCCAGGAGGCCCCTCACTCTGTCCTGCCCCGTTTTCCCAAGGGCAGTGCAGAAAGGCAAACCAGCAACCACAACCTACGGGAGGGCGTGGTCAGGGAGGGTGTGGTCAGGGAGGGCGTAGTCAGGGAGCGCACCTCAGACAAGGGAACAGGGAATCTGCCGAGACTTGCGTGACCCAGGGAGAGAGACAGAAGAGCAACCAAGGAAGGAGCAGTTCTTAGTCATTCTCAGCATACATTTATTGAGTGCTTACTGTGTGCCCAAGAGTAAGCCAAGTGCTAGAAACAGCAAAGGGACAGGGAGGAGTCAGGGTCAGCGGTTGAGTTGCCCGTGATGCCACATTGACCCTGGTTAACATGGGGAATAGATAAACCCTTCAGGCACCACGCTGATGGACTGGGCTGGGCCCTGGGCCCTCGACCCGGCCTGCCTAGATGTTCCTTCTAGCAACAGAAAGGGATCTAGTGAGGCAAGAGCCTCCCCTCCCAGGTGCCAAGGCACACAGTCAAGCTCCTACACACTCCTCTAAACACGCACACAATCCCACATACCCAGAACACATCTCAGACTTGTGCGTGCACACAAATATACAACACACACACACACACACACACATGGACACGGAGTCAGAGGCACAGCCAAGCGGTAGCCAAGGAGGTTCTCCCCCTATGGCTGGGATCTGAGTCACTCTGCTCAGTATAAACCTGCCCAGTACTTAGAGATGACCTCGGGATGCTTTTTGGCCAAGTCTCTTACCAAAATGTGAAAGACATAAAGGAAACATGATCAAGGGAAAATAGCTTAAGGCTTTGCCGAGAGAGGGATTATGGGAGGAGTGGGGTCAGCAGGAATGGACCTCACTTGCTTTACTTGGCCATGGTCATGTCATGGTCAGAGCCGCCTTAAGTCAAGGTCCTGTCATATGGAAGTGGGGGCAGGGAGCTAGCTGTGCTGTCTGCTCTTTGTCAGGGCCATAAAAATAATGCCAGTGTGGCAGTCTGCTCAGTGCCAGGCACAACACCATGCAGGTGCTTTACCTGCATGTACACCTGGCTGCTCTTCCCAAGCTGTCTCCTTGACAGAGATGGAGCCTGCCTCTGAGAAGGGTCAAGGTCAGGGAGCAGTCAGTGCAGAGGCCCTGCTTGGGTGGGGGAGAATGACTAACTTCTTCAGTGACCAAGGGGCACAGGCGGTGGCTCCATGCTGGCAGGAAGAGGCTGGAGCTATGGCAGGATGCCCTCACGGAGGATGGTGCATCCCCCTGACACTTGGGAAGCTCAGGGTGAGTCAGGCATGGAGGAGTCACCTATGGAGCCTGCCTGCTCACCCTGACCTTCCCACCAACCCCAGGACAGGGCTGCAGCCCGAGGATAAATAACACCCTTACTTGGGGGGATCCTAAGTTCTTAACCCTCATAAGCCCATGGTCTATATTTAGGGAAAATAGGCCATCGTTCTTAAGTTGGGTCCCTCCTATCACCCCTCAGGGGGAGGGAAGGGGAGCTGCTACTGAAATGACCCCTGAAGCCCGATTCTGATGAGAAGACTTTGCAGAGCTCTCTGCAGGAGCCCCTCACCACGGGTTACTCACAGCTTGTCCCCAGTCCCTCATCACCCCCACCCCAATTGTATATCTATTCCAGTTCACACAGGTTCACATCAAGTGCATTGAAAACCCCACAGAGCTGAACGTGTGCGCTACTGTCTGGGACAATTCTGCCCATATGACCCCAATACTAGATGTCCTCCCCACTTTCAGTGTCCTTGCAACTTAGGGCAGGGTGATGTCCTCCTCAGCTGTCTGGGCCAGGCAGCGCCAGGTTAAGGAAGGTCTACACAGTTCTTTTGACCTGGACAATACTGGGCACCGGAGGGAAAGAGAGGTGGAGCAAAACAGGAAGGACCCCGAGGGTCTGAACCTTCTCTTTGGCCTTTATGAGGGCTGGAACTTTTCTCTATGAGCAGGCCCCAGCAGTGGGAGCTGCCGGCAGAGGCCTAGGGGGTTTAGAGGAAGCCGACCACTAAGAATGCCTTGATCCCAGAGCTAGAGACAGGAGGGGCTCCTGGCAGTGTTCCTAAACCTTTTTTGCTCGGCCCCCTTCCTCACTCTGAAACCATAAGACTGGACATCACTTCCTGTTTCTTCCCCACTTGGAGGACAAAGGGGAAGGTGAGAGGCTTGTGGCCACTTGGTGCCCCCTGCCTGCGATCAGTCTCCATCTCAGGGCACTCCTCTTGAGATTGGGGCAGCTAGGGAATTGTACCCTCAAGTACCCATCAGCCTCCAGAGCCCAAGGACCCTCTCCTTCCTGATGAAGCTCTTGGCTCCAAGAAATAAAAATTCTACCTAAGCTTCCTCCCCTTCCTGGGGCTGCTCGTCTCCCTGCTCCAGAAGCCCTAAGACTGCTGCTCATAATGGAATGTTCTGGTCTTGAGGGCTTGGTTCCTCCAATGTCTTAAGATCCACATGTAAGCCCTGCCCTTAACCCTAGGCAAGTTATTCCACCTCTCTGGGTCTCAGTTTTCCAACTGTAAAATGGGGATGATAGTATCTGTTTAACTCTACATGATTCAATGATAGTGACAGAAGATGTGTAACTGTATAAAGGTAGCATGACAGGCCCGCATCCTGACTGGGGGTACCAACCCATCTGGCTCATCACCACCTTGGTAGCTGACTTCCATTTTCACGCCTCTAATCCTCACCCACTGCTGGCTGCAGGCTATTTTCAACCTTCACTTCTAGTCTCTCAATGCTGGCATCTTCCCTCAAAGTGCCTCTCCCTAAAGGTGTGGGCACTGGGCCTGGGTGCTGCTGGGCAAAGCACAGGTCATCTGCCCAACATCATAGAGGTTTTCCAGCTGGAAGGGACCTTGCTAGTCAGCATTTCCCCAAACTGCCCTCCTCTTCACCAGTGCATCTCGGACTTTGGGAGGCACCAGAATCACCAGAGGCCACTACTGGAATCTACAACTTTAACCAACAGCCAGGAGCCTCTGCTGCAGGTAGCCATAGGCCACACATTGGGGATGGCTCTGGTGGTTAGAGCCAGGCCGTAACAGTACACATACCCCTTCTTAGAGACCCTCAAAGAGTACCATGAGAATGCTTGATACAAAGGAGCAGACTTGACTTTAACTCAGCATTTCCAAAATTAGACTATAAACCTTTTAAATTAGAATAACCATTAACACATCATAGACCAGCACCTGGGCAGTGGTTTGGAAAATGTCAGTGGTGTTTTTGGGTTTTTTTTGGTGGGGGGGAGGACAGGGAGATGAAGGGTTTGGAACCTAAGGCCTTACACATTCTAAACACCCAAGCCCATTATTTGTTGGGTTCTGATTTCTATTTTTTTTTTTTTTTTTGGTACTGATTATTGAACACAAGGTACTTTACCACTGAGCTACATCCCCAACCCTTTTTAAGACAGAATCTCACTAAATTGCTGAAGGTCTTGCTAAGTTGCCAAGGCTGACCTCAAATATTTCATCTTTCTTGCCTCAGAGATTACAGGTGGCCCAGATGGGTTGTGATTTTTAATATTTAAGCAATCTTGAGCCTAAGAGATTCAGTGGCCAGCTGTTACTATGGAGCTCAAATTAGGCCTGAGTCTGTCCCTTCCTCTTCTGTTTGTCCACCATATCCTGACACTGTTCTCTGAGCCTGCAGTTCTCTTGGGTCACCCTATATCCTGCACTCAGGAGGAACCCTTGGGGTTGTGGAGCAGTGACAGGAAATCTGTGTAGGTGCTGAGACGGGGTTTGGATTAGCTTGTCTGGCTGGGACAGGCAGCAGACGGGGTGGCCCACACTTCCACACAGCCCAAATTGTCTGGGGTGGAGGCAGACGTAAGGTCTTTTCCTGGCTCACTGCCCCTCCCCAGTCAGGTCACCCGAGAAATGATGAGCAGCCGAGTACAGCTGGGGCTGGTCAGTGGCAGAACATCTTGTCCTGCCTTTTCTTTTCAGGCTCAAAACAAACACATACTGCCATCAACTGATATGGTAGGCGGGGTGGCCCTTACTGGGAGGAAAATGGATTTATTGCTTTATAAAAAGAAGTATGATAAAACTTAAGAGAAGAAAAACTAAAGACCTAAAAATCAGCCCACTCCTCTCAGCACCCAGCAGGTCTCAGACACATTTCTGGGGGCAGTCAAGTTGGGTGGGGTAACCAGCCAGGCAGGCTTGGCTTCTCCCTTGTAAACAGCTCCAGGGCTCTGGCAGAATCTGCCAGCAGGGGGCGCTGTGGCTCCGGACAAGCTCCACGTCCTGATCCAGACTGATTCCGGAACCCTGGGGCTGCCACAGGCCCAGTGGGCTTCTGGTCTGGTTGGTGGGCATAAGGACAGACCCTAGGGCTCATCCTCATCTCACACACCACATGTACACACATTCCACACAAACACACCCCCCCTCGGTCCCTCATGGATCAGTCTCCTTCCCTGTACACGTCTGGGCCTCCATGTCTGTCAGCACAGCCTTATTTCCACCCCACAGGAACAACTCTGTGTGTGTGTGTCAGGGAGGTACCCTGGTGGTGCCCTTTAATTCCCTTCAGGTCACAGACTGGACCGAGGGTGGCAGTGGAAACATTCTCCCCACCTGCCCCCAGCCCTGAGGGAGGAGGTGAGGAGCAACCAAGCAGCCTTGTCCAGGGCTCCTGAGGCTTAGTATGACCATCCTGCCCTCCATCCCCACACTAGGCTGTGAGCCAGGGGGCTTCTCCACAGGCCTCAAATGAGAGGACAAGCCATGGACAGGCCACAGGGGGCTGGGATTACAAAGGGGTTAGCACCAACAACAGGAAGCGGGTCCTTCCTTCCTCAGGCAGCCACAGACTGACCATGGGAGGAGGCTGAGGGGCCAGGCGAGGGAGTTGCAGACAGTGCAAGCCTTTGTCCTCAGGCAGGTGTGGTCGGTGGGCATGCAGCCGAGAGGCAGGTGGTGGGCAGTGGATGGCAGGCCCCTCTGCTTTGGCAAAAGACAGAATCCAGACCCTTAAGGGAGAGAGCCTGCCTGCTGGGAGTGCTTTGGGCTCCTCCTGCAGGCACCATGAAGACCCAAGGCCCTGGGGTCCCTTGGGGTGGCAGAGCAAAGCCAAGGCGGCCCTGCTTCCAACAGTAGGAAAATTGCCCATCCTGGGCCCTCTCCCATCCTTTCACCGCAGAGCTTCGAGGCAGGACCAAAGCCCTGAGAGGGAGCATGGACTCCAACATGGTGAAGGAGAGGATCCTGGGGGTGCATGGGGTCCTCTGGGGTGAGGAGGAGGACACTGATCAGTCACTGAAGCATGGGCAGGAGGCCACAGTCCTGAGGTGGTCAGTGCTACACAAAAGCCTCCCGGTTGGATGAGCCGTTGATCTTGAGGAAAAGCTTGTCCTCTTCCCTCTTCTGCTGCAGCTGCCTTTCCAGCTGGCGCCGGTAGCAGATCAGGTAGAGGGGCAGGCAGAAACCCAGCATGCTCATGATGAGCAGCCCCACATTCACCTGGGAGGTGGGGAGGAGAGGGCCATCACGGGGGGTGGGGGCCAGGCAGCGCCCAGCTCAACACCCCCCTCACACTCAGGTTTGGAGAAAAGAGTTGGTTACAGGAGAGGAGAGGAAAAAATGAACAGGAAGGTTCAAGAGGTCCCAGGGCCGTCACTCCACATTCCAGCATCTGAATTCCCCGATTCCCCATAGGCTACCACAGCCCTCAGGGCCTGGCCCTCCACCTTAGACCTATTGATCTGAGTCTCCGGGGTGGGGCTGGGGTTGTGACAACTCCTGGTACCTGGTTAAGAATGCAGGAGGGCCTGGGACAGGACCTCTCTTCTACTTACCCCAAAATCAAGTCCAGAGAGGTTATTTTTCTCTTCCCGCCTGGTCACCATTTACTAGGGGACATAGTTCTAACCAAGTTCCAAATTGCCTATCCTCCGTGCTCTGAAGCCCCCAGCTCCCAGTTAGTAGAGTGGAGCAGATGTCCGTGACACCCTGTTCTAACCCTTCTTACCCACAGAGGGTCTCCTTGGAGGGGACCCATCATGGCCAAAAACAGTGGCTGCTGCAGGAGAGCAAAGAGCGCACTGATCAGAGACTGCAGTCCCGTGAGGCTGCCGAACTGCGTGGAGGGGTACCTGTTGGAGCAATTGAGACCTGTCACAGTCAGGGCCATTCTCAGGCAAACACTGCCTTGGCTTAGCTGGCCAAGGTGTGCTGGTGCCCTGGGCTACACCTGCTTGAAGGGAGAGGCCAGAACAGCCTCAGAGGATGGTCGAGTCCCTGGATTACTTTCTGCTGAGCAGTTCTGCAGTTTCTCTTTTGGCCCAGCTGGAGGCCCCAGACTCTGCAGAGGGCCCACCCGACCTGCCCCACCCAGATGTGCCTGGGGCCTGTGGGTGTCTGGCTGAGCAGAGTGGGGATGTGGTGCCAACAGGAGTCTGCGGCTTGGGAAACAGGCCCAGGGAACAGGTTGGAGGCTGGGCCTGGCTCTGCGGCACCCTCCTCCCGAGGAGTGTTGTGTAATCACGGAAACTCAGCATCACTGCTCTCCCCGATTCCCTCCCGTCCTGCCAGGGCAGCCACAACTTCCTCCAGGCCTAGGGGGGCCAGGCGGGGGCCAGGAAGACCTGGAATGACCCCCATGGGATACTGCTGGAAAAGGGAGTGAGTTCTGGGTTAAATTTCGGCAAACATCAGGCTTTGCTGCCCAGAGGTGGGAAGGGGCTCCCCGCAAGGAATGAGCTGGTCTCCTAGTCACAGATGTGGATGACGGTATCTGGGTTCCAGTTTTGGGGCCAATCCCTGGGTCAAAGGGGGAACAGCTGGGTGGCTTCTGAATAAAGATAGGGTTTCATTTTAGCCGGAGTTTGAGAAGGCTATGGCTGGCACTGGGCCATTTAGGCTCTGGGTGAGAACTGTCTGGCACATTCTGGGCTCAGCCATCTATGTCGCTGTCCTTGTTGAGGGCCATTAGAATTTCAACATGTAGCTTTCAGCACCCAGAACACATCCCTGTACTTCCCAGTGAGCAGCCAGGGCAGTCCTAGACTCGGATGAGCAGCAGCCCCAGAGGCCCTACGTGCTGCATGGGGTCACTGACTGTGGCTGGGAGAACCGATTTCATGTTAAATGCCAAGTCTTGTGTGCATCCAACTTGCTGTCCACTGACCACTGACCATGGATCAGGTATGGCTTTGCCTGGACACGCCCAGTAGAAACCATAGTACTCATCCCCTCATGCAAGAAGATGAACCCTGCCTTGGCAGTTTGGCTCAGCCTCAGGGTCTTCTCAGCCCTACAACAAGCTCCCCAGGTCATGCCCTCCTCCTTGTCTGCTAGAATGCCCACAGTTGCCAGAACTTACACAGCAGCATACAGGCCCCCAACAGCAGAGTGGATAAATCCTCGCACGATCGTGTGCAGGATGAAGGAGAAGATCTGAGGGAGGGAGAAGAGAGAATGAGCAGAAGACCACTAGGGTCTTCACCTTGCCCTCTGCCCTCCAGTTCTTGAGGTCTTGAGTCACAGGAGCAGGGGCAAACCAACAGTTGGCTGTCACCCACTAAGCACTGCCCTTTAATCAGGCAAGATGACCAGGGCAAGGGTCTTCCAGTATTGCAGGAGGCCAGGGGAGACACCCAGGAAGCAAGGACCCTCCCACCTAGAACTAGCACAGCCTCCCATGGCTTACTGTGGTCTATACCCCAGTGTTGACGCAGACACATAACAGAATCTGTGGGTGTGCACACCTGTGTGTTCAACATACTTCAACACCTGGCCATTTGTAAATAGGGAGGGACTCTTGCTTTCCTACTGTGCAAGGTACAAGATACCATCTGGACTTGGGCTACGCCCATCTGGAAGCAATGCCATCACTTGTATCCCTTCATAGTTTGTGAACTTGGGACTGAGCCAAAATCTACTGTTAGAACACTTTCACAGATCAAAGGATGAGGCCAGACAGATGACAAGGTCTACCTTGCTTACAATCTCTGACAAGAGTCAGGTTTCAAAAACATCAGAAATATTGTGCAAAGAAATTAAGCCTTTGAACCCAGATGCCAAGCCATGATCATGGTCTTTCTCCACTGTCTCCAGGGTAGAGGCCCTGTGGGCATTCTTGTTCTAGGGAGGCAGAGTCTCCCAACCACACCACAGATTGGCTAGACCTCTTTGGACATCAGATTCCAGCTGTTTGAGCAAATGAAAAACAAGTAACCACACAACTATCCCACAGAGTTCCAGTAAATGCATGATGATGGTTCTCATGGTATGTGAGATGTCCAAGAGACTAAGGAGAATAATGTGCCTTCACAAAGAACAGTACTGTGAAAGACAATCCAAATCTCCTTTACAAGCTGGGTGTGATGGTGAGTGCTTGTAATCCCAAGAACTGGGGAAGCTGAGGCAGGAGGATGGCAAATTTGAGACCAGCTTGGGTAACTTAGTAAGATCCTGTCTCAAAATAAAAAAGTAAGGGGGGGGGGCAGAGGGCTGGAGTTATGCTCAGTGGTAGAGCACTTGCCTCACAAGTATGAGGCACTTAGTTTGATCCTAGCACCACATAAAAACAAATAAAGGCATTGAGTCCATATACAACTAAAAATAAGTAAATAAATGAATAAATAAACAGGAAGGGATATAACTCAGTAGTAGGCAGAGCACTTGCCTAGCATGTGTGAGGCACTGAATTCAAACCTTAGCACCACATAAAAAAATTAATAAAATAAAGGCATGATGTCCTTTACAACTACAAAAAATTTTAAAAAATAAAATAAAACAACAACAACAAAAACCCCTCCTGTATAGCTCCCTCTTCCATTGAACACAGAGCCTAGCAGGTAGCAGGCCCTCTATAAATAATGGTGGCTCGTTTGGTGGGTTGGCATTGGTTGATTGGTTAAGTTGAAAGAGTGAAGTCACATTGCTTTGTCAATGGCTTCTAGTCTCTAAACAATATTCCTTCTTGTCCCATTCCCCACCTGGCCTCTCCCTCTCCCCATACCCACCTGTAGAGGCAGATTGGGAATGAGGCAAGTCACCCCAAAGCCCACAAGCAGCAGGTTTGTAAAGGCAAAGGCCCGCATGGCATTGGTGACCTTTTGGATCTGACGGTCTCGCTTCTTCTTCTTCTCACCTCTGTGGAGATGGAACATATACTGGAACTGGGAGGGCCCCTGGAGGAAGGTGGACCTTTCCCAAAAGTCAGGCCTTGGGAGTCCCAGCATGTAGACTGATGCAAAACTCACAGGCCACCCAAGTGCATCTTAGCGATTGTATCAGAGAACTAGGGACACTCCCTGGTCCAGCTTCTACATTGAGCACCAGGTGTGAACGTCAGTGGAGGGTCTCAACCCGAGAAGGTGGCCCTCTACACACTACCCTGCTTCACTGAAGCGCCAATGAGGGGGAGGGAGGTATGCGCCCAGCTAGGGTGTGGGGAGCTTCACTGCACCATTGGCTTGAGTTCACCCAGATCTCACAGGAAGCTGGGGATCAGCCAGATAATGAGCCAAATAAGGGAGTGAGTGGATTTCCCCTTGGGGGGCAGAGAGGGTGAAGGGGAAATAAACATGTAGCAGATGGAACCAGGATGGGCACAAATAACCTCTTGGCTGTCGGACCTGACCTAGATAACAGAGCATGCTCTGTAATTATTTCCTTGTGAATTAACTATTACGAAGTCCAGTCTCACCACCCACACCTAGACCCCATGGATGATCCCATGTCTAAGAACCAATGCCAAGTGCTCAGGGATCTGCAGGGAGTCCCAGGCCCACCACTTCCTAACTATGTGACCTCAGGCAAACGACTCAGACTCCCAGCTTCAGTTCTCTCATCTGTGAAATGGGTATAACACCAGTACACACCTCCCTGTGGTGAAGGGAGGCTTAACTGAGGTATTGTGTGTTAAGTGCTTGGCACTGGGCCTGATACAATAAATAGCAGCTTATTATATTAAGGTGGAGTCACAGAAGATGGCATTTAACTCATCCTCTGATGTTAAAAGCCCAACCCTTCCATAAAGTAGGGCTCCAGCACCTTGTTTAATCCTCCCAATCATCAACAAATCTATTAATATATTGGTCATTAAATCTTACTACTCAAACTGAGTGGAATAAACCCCATGGGCAAGATGGTCCCATAGTGCTATTCGTGCCAAGGATCTGAGGGCCATCCTGGGGCCATAGGTCTCCCTTCTGGTCTCTCTCCTGCTTTGGGCTCACATGCCTCCAAACTTTAGCATACCAAAGAATTTCCATAAAGAGACTGAAGACCTGAATGTGCACAGGGCTGGCTGCATGAGTATCTTCAAAGAGTTTCCAGACTACAGAGCACACTCCGCTCCTGCCCTCCTGTTGCCTAAAAAATTGAACCCACCACGCTGTCCCTGCCTAACTTGAGACTCAGTGGGCCTTCTCCAGGGGCTGAGCAGGGCCGTGGCTCTGCCTACGCACTGGGCAGTGTCCTTCTCCTCGGGCTCCTCAGAGGTATCTTCGCACTCCTTCAGCCTCCAGTCCATGATGTAGCCGATAACAGGTGCAGTCAGCAGGCAGAGCAGCTGGAGTGCGCCGAAGATAGAGGTATAGAGGGCAACTGGGGAGGAAGGAGTTGCGTCACAGGGGCTTCTGCACAGAGCCCTAGGGCACAGGCTGAGCAGGTCTTGGGAAGGTACCCACAAGTCCTTCTGGGGTCTGCCTCAGAGCCCCTTTGTCACTGCAGGTCTTGGGGAGAGCCCAGAGACAACCTCTGAAATCAGAGCTGGGCAAGAGGTATATCACTCAATTTTCTGCTCCAAATCCTCTGCCTACTTTCCAGAAACAGCTAATAAAATACAGTATGTCACAATGATCCCCCTCACCATAAGTTCTAGGAAGTCACTATGACTTGGGAACCACAAAATTACCAACGTCCACGAATGAGTCTTTGCGTGTGACTGGCCATTAGTTTTCTGCCTCTAGGACTAACCCAGGAAGGCACCACTCATCGGGACTGTGACGTAAAGGCTTTCATCAGCAAAGAGACTTAAAATTATAAAGGACAGGAGCACAGTTTCAGGGAGATAGCTGAAAGTTGATTGCCCTGCCCCACCCCCACCCCAAGCAGGATGCTGAGAGTTCAAGGTGAGAAATCTCCCTCTGAAGAGAGACTGGCGGGGAGGGGTGTTGCAATGTTCCCTGACCACCCCCTGCTTACCCGTGGCCATCACTGCATTGAGAAAGCAAAGGCGGAAAAAGCAGAAAAGACAAAGGTTAGTGGTAGGAAAGGCCATTAGAGGGGATGGGGGAGGAGGCAGGCTAGTGCTCACACACCTCTTCCCACCAAGACCTGCTCAGAGCACTCAGCAGGCTGAGACTGCAGCAGGCTCCCTGCAGCGGATCTGGGAGCAGGCCCAGCCCAGGCGCCGGCTGACATTTTCCTGTCTGCCGGTGCCTCATCACAGGCAGGCTGGTGAGTCAGGCCTGTGGTGCTGGCTGGGCAAAGTGATGGGGAAGTGATGTGCTGCGTGCAGAAGGCCTTGCAGAATCAGGATCCCCCACTGCCGTGTGACCCTGTGGGAATGCTGCTCTGTCAGTTACCTCCTGCTGCACTCAAAGCGAAAGATCAAAGAATCCACTGGACAACTAGGCAAACCATTTGATACCAGGGGTCTCCCTGAGACGCCAGAGCTGGTCCTTATACTCTACCAGCTCCCTGACCCTATGGCAGCCCCTCTGGGAAGAGCTAGGGCCATAGGGCTTTAGATGTTGGGTTCCAGAGGAACACGCTGGGGAAGATCAATGCCTTGTCTACAACCATAGACCAAACTTCCTGGCCCAATTTCCTCTACTTCTTTTTTTGGAACTATGAATTGAACCCAGGGTCTTACGCTTATCAGGCACCACTGAGCCACATCCCCAGCACTTTCTATTTTTTTTTGGTACTGAGGTTTGAACTCTGGGGCACTCCACCACTGAGCCACATCCCCAGGCCTATCTTGTATTTTATTTAGAGACAGGGTCTCACTGAGTTGCTTAGTACCTCGCTTTTGCTGAGGCTGGCTTTGAATTCTCAATTCTGCTGTCTCAGCCTTCCAAAACTCTGGGATTATAGGCATGCACTACCACGTCCAGCCCCTTTTTAATTTTTTGAGACAGGGTCTCACTAAATTGCTGGGGCTGGCTTTGAACTTGTAATCCTCCTGCCTCCCAAGCCGAGGGGATTACAGGCATGTGCCACTATACCTAGCTACAAAGTGGGTTCTGGTGGGTGCAATGATATGCATATGACCCCAGTTATGCAGGAGGCTGAGGCAGGAGGATTACATGAGCCCAGGAGTTCAAGGAAACCCTGAACTCAGCCCAAGTTAAAAAAAAAAAAAATTAAGGGTTCCTATGTTATAAATTTGGGAGAACATCATTAGACTAAACAAAGCTAAATAGGTTTTTTTTTTCCCCTATACGGCTCCTGAGGCCCTTTACTGCATTCACATTCATTATACTCTTTTTTTTTGTACCCAGGATTGAACTCTGGGGCACTCAACCACTGAGCCACATCCTCAGCCCAATTTTATATTTTATTTAGAGACAGGATCTCACTGAGTTGCTTAGCGCCTTGATTTTTGCTGAGGCTGGCTTTGAACTCGCAATCCTCCTGCCTTAGCCTCCTGTGCTGCTGGGATTACAGACATGTGCCGCTGCACCCGGCTTCATTACACATTTTTGCACACACTATTTAGTCCTTCTCCCCTTTGCTTTACTATCAGACTCCCTTGTCTACTACCATAGACCAAACTTCCTGGCTCAATTTCCTCTACTTTTTTTTTTTTGGTACTAAGAATTGAACCCAGGGTCTTACGCTTACCAGGCACCACTGAGCCACATCCCCAGCACTTTTAATTTTTTTTTTGGTACTGAGGGAACAGTGTTACCTAGTTCCCTTTGCTATCTTTTGCCTTTGTTAAAACAGGATTTCTTACCCTAGTTATAAACTGTTGTTTCACCCCTTACAAGGCCTATCATGTCTTCCCCACAGTGAAAAACAAGTAAACCAACAAAAGAAAGTTGCATGCCAGTGAGTCTGCCAATAAAAGGATTTGCCGAATGTGTTTGTCCCGTTGGGGATGACTAAAGCTGACTCAGCTAGGCCCTGGGGAAGTACTGACTTTCTTTGTAGGAGCAAAACCTCTAATCAGCTGAAGACCTTCGCTGTTTTCGCATGGGTTATCAGTTCTGTTTCCCGGAGTTAACAAGCCTTAACTGGATTATGATGCTCCCAGGAAATCTTTGCCTTCCTGTTTTACCCATATAGGGCACGGATTCCAGTATGTACCCAAAAGTCTCCACCCAGGACTATGTACTCCTCCTTGACCCCCAGAAGCTCCACACATGGAGATTGCAGTCTACATGGGGCTAGACTTGCTGGCCTTCTGTGTCACTCAGGTGGAGAAGTCTGCACTGTTTTCATTTACAGACACATCCTTCAGCCCTCCCAGCCAGCACTGGAAAACATACACCCCACGCCCTAAACACATGGAGCTATTTTGGTCCTTCCCTCCCTCCTAAACCGGGAAACCCTGATGGAGACCTGAGAACAGTCAGGGCTGGCTGTGGTGAAATAGCTCTAACAGCAAACAGAGCCACAGACACTGCCATTTCAGGGCCCTTCTGGTCCAGCTCAGCCTAACACACTCCAGGAGGTGGCTGTGGAGCATGACCCTAGCTGGTGGCAGTGAATGGCACTCTTGGGGCACCTTCCCCTAGTGTTGTGCACTGAGGTCCAGGGGCACCTACCTGTCTTCTGGTCGCCACTGACCAGGAACTCAAGGATGCTGTTCATGGCCCCCATGTAGAAGATGAGGCGCAGCTGCGTGACGCACATGGTAACCAGACTGAGCAGCAGGATGGGGCTGAACACGCTGTGCATGAACGAGGGGGCTGCTGCAGGGAAAAGGTACAGGGCTCAGGGCTGAGGCACACAGCCCACTCAGCAGCCAGGAGCTGAATGCGAGGGAGGAAGGGAGGCCCAAAATGTTGACCAAGTCACTCTCTACACTGGAGGATGGCAGGGGGAAATAAGGAAGAGCCCGGTGGGGTTCATGGTGCTGGTGCTGGAGCTGGGTAAAACTCTCACCCTCCTGAACTTTAGTGTGCCCATCTGTAAAACTGGGCAGATGATGCCACCAAGCCCTCTGGGATGAAGTAGGAATTTAATGAGATGATACCACAGAGCCTCAGTTAGTACTGGCCCTAGTCAAGGGGGTGCTGGAACCGCCCCCTCCAGTTCTGGTTGGCAGCTCCTCCCAATCACCCAGGGCGCAGACACTGAGGTCTCAGGCAGACCTGGGGGGTGGGGGCCGTGCGGTGAATACCTGCAGCATCTGGCTGGCACTTCACCTCCAGGTCGACAGTGGACAGGCACAGCTTGTGGCCCTCCTGCAGTGCCGCCTGCTCCTTGGCGCTCCGCATGGAGCTGCCCACGCTTAGGCGGCGTCCCACGGTGGTCACCTGCTTATAGAACTGTTTCCCTGTGATCTTGTGGTCAAAGCCCAGCCAGCTGAACTTGATCTTCACCCTGGAAGCCACAGGATAGTGTCTGTTGGTGCCACCCAGGACCCTGGCTAGCATGAGGGTTGGGGCCGAAAGTGTGCAGACTTACGAGTAGTCCATGTCCTCTGGCCCCGGGAAGGGCTCCAGCGGCCAGTTAAAGAAGCAGTTGAGGAAAACCAGCCCAGAGCAGCCGGCCCAGACCACAAGGATGACGATGAAAGAGGCACCCGAGTCGTAGATGAGCTGCCAGGCACATGAGAACAAAGGGTCAGAGTCAGAGTGGGCAGTAGGCACCTGGAAGCCCCTGCTTCCCTGTGCTGACCTGCAGGAGGAGGCACAGCCCTGGCAGCCTGGCCCATTGGTCATCCAAAACCCTGCATTCCAATAATTCCAACTTGCCTGGCCCTGCCTAACTTGGACCAAAGGTCACTGCCTTGGAGAGACCTTTGCTTACTACCCCATCACTGTCACGTCTGCCTCACTGGCCCACAGCGAGCAGCCCTGGGTGAGATCAGTGCATTGCTTGATGGATTTACTTGTCTGCTGTTAGTCCAGCTCCCTGAGGACAGGAGGCTGCTGACCCTGTCCACAGAAGCATGAACAAGGTAGCTTTGAGGCATACGTGCACATATGAATGCATCTCCCTCGGCTCCTCTGTGCAATGGGTGTGACGCTGGCATGGGTCCTTAGAGTGTTGTGTGGTAGGTGGGCGTGAGAATGCGAGTGCTGAGTAAGCTAGCAGTTACTGCTGTGAGTACCACTGATTATTTCCAGTGTCTACATGAGAATCCCCAAAGTACTGGCATACAGCTGCCCAGCTACAGCTGCCCAGGGAGGAGGCCAGCAGTTATAGATACTGAGAAAAGGTAGAGGAATTTGTAGGCTTCTTCACCAACTAGGAGCAAAAGAACCTCCAAAGTCCACAGGATGGCTGGTCCTAAATTCCTACCTCCTACCACCTTGATTCCTAGGTGACCAGTCCACATCTGGGACTGCCTCCCCTCATCAGTAATAGCTCCCCCCCCCCCCCCCCCCCCCCCCCCCCCCGCTCCCCTGCTTCACATCTCTGAGGAGTGTAGCTTTGACTGGGTCCTGGTGCCCAGGGAGGATAAAGTCCTTGCTGAAGCTCTGACAGAGCAACAGGATTTGGGGAGGGAACCTGGGTTGGTAGACTGTGAGGTGTTTGCTTCATCCTGACCCCATGTGACTTCCACAGACATAGAATCCTGCCCGGGAGGGAAACAGCTGAAGCAACTTGGCCAAGAGCAGAGCTTTGGCTAATGAGGAGCAATAGCCCAACAACAACAGGCTAGGGGGACTCGAGACCGGAGGGAACTCACCCACCCTCCTTTCCCTAACCCAGCCTGTGGTCACACACTACAGCGATATGCTTGAACCTCCAGTTCCCCACGGCCTAGGGGTTTTATTTTCTTACTCCTGTGGTGCCCAGGTGCATCCTGCCCAGGTGCAAGGGGTGGAAAGGGAGGGGCCTTCTCCAGGGCCAACAATGACTTCTCTCTTCAGAGAGGATTAGGAGCCTTGGGGGAGGCCTCTGCACATATACTAGCACAAAGTACCCTGCTGAAGACCCATGGCCACACCCTTACCTTGATTCCTGGGAAGGTAACTGCTGAGGAGGCGTAGGATCCAATCATCAAGGCAATAAATGTGGACCGAAGGTCGCCGAACATGTTGGGCAGCTAAAAGATGGACAGAGGCAAGGTTTAGGGGAGGGAGTTCAGAGCCTAGGCAGTGTGAGGCACGCTCGCTCACCTGCCCTGCTCCAGGGTAAGCCACAGGGTAGTCCAGGGGTGATTACTATCAATTGCAAATTTTCCCTTTCTGGACTGAGATGGATGAGACAAGAAAAGGAAAATTAAAAAAAAAAAAAAAATCAGGTTGGGTAATAGTGGCACATGCCTGTGTCAGGATGCCGAGACAGGAGGATCACAAGTTCAAGGCCAGCCTCAGCAACTTAGCAAGACCTTGAGAAACTTGTCTCAAAATAAAATATGAGCAGGGCTGGGGATGTGGCTCAGGTGGTACAAGCACCCCTGGCTTCAAACTCCAGTACCAAAAAAGAGGGGGTTTCCAAATGTGAAGAGATGGTTGTTTGATTTTTGGGGGGGTCAAGTATCCCCCTGTTTCTGCCCCTGGCATAGGCCAGGGGCCTTCTTATCTTTTCAGGGTTACACTGAGATGCCAGAGAGCAAAGTTAAGAGCCTCAGGCATCCCTCAAAGGGAGAAAGCCCGTTAAAAATAAGAATCTATTTGGGGATAAGAGCGTCACTTTATAAATAAAAATATCAGAGTCCCAGAAGGACCAGATGTCAGCAAAAGCTGCTTTTGGTTTTGAGAGAGCAGGTTTCTGGGAGGTGCCATCAGAATTCTGTAGTTCCCTCAGAGCTAATAAGAAAACCAGCCCAGGTTCCTGGTTCTGAATTTCTAAGTACAAATAGGGGATCCTCCTCCCACCTGAGGTCCCATCCTAGCGATGGGCACCTGAGAAGGCTAATGGTGGAATTAGCCTTAATTAATCAGGCCCTGTATCATGACAGCTCACCCTGGGTGCAGGGCAAGAGATGGCCCATTGAACAAGACTTCAAGGCCCAACCCTCAGTGATTCTGCAGAAACCCAGGTACAGTAAAATGCTACAGAGTCATGAATTCAGACAGATCTGGGGCAAAGTACATCCTCCCAAACAACTAGCCATAGCTTTTCTTCTCCAGCCTCAGGAGAGCTGCAATGCAGTAGACTCACACCCACAATGTCCCTGTCATTGGGGACGCTCTCCTGAGAGTTATGCTATCCAATGTCATTGAATTCCGGTTGTCTCAAGGGACATAAAATATGTTCCCCTTCCCCACTTTTGACTTGAATCATTTTTGTTTTATCAAACATGGCTACTGCAAGCTAAATCGTTGCTGCTGAATGGAGGCAGCTGGAACTTGGTTATATGCCTGTTCCTCATTATTTCTGCTTTTTTCTCCCCTCAAATGTAAGTAAATAATGGACATTACCAAAATTAATTATTCTGGGTTGGGCTGGGTGTGGTGGCGCACACCTGTAATCCCAGCAGTTTGGGAGGCTGAGGCAGGAGGATCACAAATTCAAAGCCAGCCTCAGCAATGGCAAGATGCTAAGTAACTCAGTGCGACTGTATTTCTAAATAAAATACAAAATAGGGGTGGGGATGTGGCTCAGTGGTCCAGTGGTCCTGAGTTCAATCCCTGGTACCAAAAAAAAAAAAAAGGCGGGGGGCTGGGGATGTGGCTCACTGGTTGAGTGCCCCTGGGTTCAAACCCCAGTAAAAAAAAAAAAAAAAATTCTGGGTTGGGGATACAGCTCAGTGGTAGAGTGCCTACCAAGCATGAGGCCCTGGGTTGAATCCCTAGTACTGCAACACTGCAAAAAAATAAAAAATAAAAAAATCCCATGCTTGGGCTGGGGTTGTGGCTCAGCAGTAGAGCGCTCGCTTGACACATATGAGGCCCTGGGTTCAATCCTCAGCACCACATAAAAATAAATAAAATAAAGGTATTATGTCCATCTACAACTAAAAAATAAATATTAAAACAAAAACAAAAACCCATGCTTCAAAGGACACCACTGAAAAAGTAAAAACCCAGGTTGGGGATGTTGTTCGGTGGTAGAGTGCTTGCCTAGCACATATGAGGCCCTGGGTTTGATCCCCAGTATGGGGGGGGGAAAAGTTTCAGAATGCACAGAATGGAAAAAAAATTTTTACAAAAATCATATATATGATTAGGGGCTTGTATTTAGGATATATAAAGAACCCCTATAACTAATAAGAAAACACATTTTTTAAGTGGGCAAAGGAGCAGGCAGGGGGTACATGCCTGTAATCCCAGCTACTTGTGAGGTTGAGGTAGGTAGGATGATCCGAAGTTTGAGGACAGCCTAGGCAACTGAATGAGGCTCTGTCTCAAAAAATAAAAAAAGGACTGGGGGATATACCACAGGGAAGAGCATCCCTGGGTTCAATCCCCAATGCCTCAGAATTAACAAGAAGAAAGATAAAGATGTGAACAGGCGCTTCTCCAAAGAAGATATACAAATGGCAAAAAAAAAAAAAAAAAAAAAAAAAACCACACAGGAAAAGATACTCAACATCATTAATCACAAAGAAATGCAAATCAAAACCACATAAAATACCAGTTGGTCACCACCAGGATGGCCATAATAAAGTCAGATTTAACACATGTTGTTAAGAATGTAGAGGGATTGAAACACTTATGCACTTCTGGTGAAAAACAGTTCAGTCAGTTTGGAAAACAGTCCGGCAGCTCTTCAAACAGTTAAAACTAACCACACAACCCAAAGTTGACTCCTAAGTTCATACCTAAGAGAAATAAAGATGTTCACACAAAAACTTGTATATCAATGTCTACAGCAGCATTCCTTCTAACAGCCCAAAGTGAGAACAACCTGAATGTCCATTAATGAATGAATAGATTAACAAATCTGGTATATTCAATTATTATTTTTTTGGTTGGTTGGTTTTTTATACTAGGGATTGAACCCAGGGACGCTTCACCACATCCCCAGCCCTTTTTATGTTTTATTTAGAAACAGGGTCCCACTAAGTTGCTCAGGGCCTTGCTAAATTGTTGAGGCTGGCTTTGAACTTGGGATTCTCCTGCCTAAGGCTCCCAAATTGCTGGGATTACAGGTGTGTGTGTCTGGCTTCATCAATAGTATTTGGTTATAAAAAGAAAAGACATACTCTAAAAACATGGATTAATCTTGAAAACATACTGCTGAGTGAAAGAAGTCAGACACAAAAGACCACATATTATATGATTCCACTTATATGAATTGTCCCCAATGGGTAAATCCATAAAAACAAAGATTACTAGTTGCCAAAGCCTGGGAGGTAAAGAGGGAGGGAAACTAATGGGTACAGGGTTTCTGTCTGGGGTCATAGTATTGATTGTAGTGGTGAATGTACAACTACAAAATATACCAAATATATAAATACACACAAAAAAACAATGAATTGTACACTTCAGGTGAACTAACTGGTTTGTGAATCACACATCAATATAGCCATTAATAAAACCCAGTGGCTTGGGAGGCTGAGGCGGAAGGATTGTGCGTTCAAAGCCAGCCTTAGCAACTTAGGCCCTAAACAACTTAGCGAGGCCCTAAACAACTTAGTGAGACCCTGTCTCAAAGTAAAATATAAAAGGGCTGGGGATGTGGCTCAAGCGGTAGCGCGCTCGCCTGGCATGCGTGCGGCCCGGGTTCGATCCTCAGCACCACATACAAACAAAGATGTTGTGTCCGCCGAAAACTAAAAAAAAAGAAATAAATATTTAAAAAATTCTCTCTCTCCTCTCCCACTCTCTCTTTAAAAAAAAAAAAAAAAGTAAAATATAAAAAAGGGCTGGGGATGTGGCTTAGTGGTTAGGTGCCCCTGGGTTCAATCCCTAATACCAAAAAGAGAAAAGAAGAAGAGTAAGAGACTTAAGATTTTTTGGTATCCCAGGGTTAAAAATGAACAGGAATTAATCTATAGTATGTGGCCAACTAAGCCACTTAGAGAATGAAGCTTGGGAGCCCACCTAGGCTCCCCGCAAAATTTCTAGCACACACAAAAAGCTCTTCCCAGCCAGGTTGATGTCACAACCTATAATCCCAGAGACTCTATAATTCCAGGGACTCAAGAGGCTGAGGCAGGAGGTTTGCAAGTTCAAGGCCAACCTGGACATTTGTAAGACCCAGTCCCAAAAAAAATATAAAGGGCTGGGGGGCAGCACTCCTGGCTTTGCAAAACAAAACAAAAAAACAACCAAAACTCTTCCCTTGAAGAGTGGGTGCTGTGTCCTAGGCTTCTCAGGAAGGATCAGAAAGGGGAAAGGGAGAGGCAGAGCAGACAAGAGATGTGAAGTGCTTATGTGTGTCCAGACACACCCCAATGAGCGCGAAAGGTGCCAAACTGCATTCTCTGCACACCTGCCTCCTAGGTATGCTGCATTTCAAAGGACAAGCCCGGTTCCTGAGCTCACATACTTGGGCTGGTCCTTGCTAGTCCCACCTGCAAAGCTGCTTTGTAAGGGAACATCCTGGAGCCATATCCACCTCGGGGAAAATCCAAAGATTAGGTCTATGGGGAAAGAGGGAACTGTTCCTGCCTGGGATTCCACTCCAACCAGTACAGATAAAAAGAGAAAGGTATCAGAGAAGGCTTAGAACCCAACCAGAAGATCAGATGGAGGCAAAGAGCCTCGACTCTTTGGTGCAGAGTTAAGCCAGGTGAACATTCTTTTCCTTGAGAATGAACATATGTGCACATAGCTATTGTTTCTTTAAGGTAGATTCCCCAAAGTAGAATCACCTCTGGGCACAAACTTCTCAACCGGGATCCATAAATACTCCAAAAAGCACATAGCTAGCTTGCCGTTTGTTTTCTTTCTACCCTTTAATCTCAAGCCTGCCTTAACCTTCACCCAGGCTAGATGCCGACAGAACAGCAGTGGCTTGACACCAGCATGCAGTCCTACCCAGATCTTCTCGATCCTTTTTCTGGTACTAGATCCAGGAAAGAGCAGCACCTGGGAGACAGGCTGATTTTCCACCTGTCAGCAGGTGAACTGTTGCCCTCAGGCTTGAACAAGGACAGCAACTTTCCAGCTGCCCTTCCTGTTGACCAGCCTCACCCTGCCTGGAACATTC